TCAGTTTCCCCCCACCGGCACAACAGGACCCTGTGCCGGCAGCCAGAGCTGGGCAGCCACCCCCATGCTCGTGGGGAGCCAGCCGGGAGCCGGACGGATCCTGCACACACCCATCTGCAAGAGCACGTACATGAGCAAATCCAGCCCTGCAAGGACGTGTGGATATTTGCACCCGGAGAGATGTGGGATCGGTCCCGCCAGCGCCCAGCTCTGGTTTCTCATTACACAGATTTACCCAAAAACGCTCCTTTCCCTCCAGAAGAGCTCTGGGACTTGGCGGGGGTGGGGGGAGGGGGGGATGCAGGGCTTGAAAATGGACCCCTCCACCTTGCAATAAAGTTTGGCCTTGAGACATCCTCGCTTTTTTTAACCAAATCCAGCGTGTTTAGCACCAGTCACCACCTGAGGAAGAGCTGCATCTTCGAGGGATGCTGCGGGGAGGGTGAGCACGATGCCCGGGGACAAACTCCCCTGTCCCGTCCCATCTCTTTGGCTTTGATATGGGAAACCACATCCCAATCTTTAGCATCCCCAGCCCAAAAAAACCCCAGCTGTGGGCCTGCCCCTCCCTCAGGTGCTTTGTGTTTAGCAGAGAGGCTGCAAATCCTCCCTGGGAAGAGCTTAAAAGGAGCGGTGGGGGGTGCTTTTCCCTCCAGCATCTGCATTTTCCTCCCTAGTCTCTGTCTTGGGTGGTTTAAACCTTCCCTAAAACCTGGCTTAGCTGTAGCAGCTCAACCGCTGCTGTGAGCAAAGCAAATAAAGAGGCACCAAGTGAAATATTGAGGATCCCCAAGAAAGCCATGGGCAGCTTCGATCACCACCCTCCAGCAGGTAAGGCCCTTGCCGAAGTATTTTTGAGCCTGGATGTCTGTGAATGGATCATTTTCCTTGGAATTTGTGGGGTTTTGGGGGGTATGAATATCCTGCTCTCTCCAGGAGAGAGGTTGAATCGGGTCTTGCCTTTATTGAGGGTGGAAGGAGCCCTGGCTGGTGTATGCTGGTTTTCTGGGTTCTTTTACAACACTTGCTGAAATTTTACAGGAGTCATTTGTCTCCTGTGGGATTTAATAGCGTTTTGGAGCAGGTGACCGCAGGATGCGTTCTTACAACTGTCAGAATCACCGTGGTCTCACCCCCTGCTTAGGGAACATGGTTTTAGGTTGAACAAATCCATCTATTCCTATAATGCACTGAGGGGTTGGGTGGGGGGTTTTTTTAATAGCTTGTTTAAAATAATATCATAGAATCACAAGAATGTTTTGGGTGGGAGGGGACCCCCAGAGGTCACCTAGTCCACCCCCCAAATGTGTGTAGAGAAGTATGGGTCAGTCAGTGTGCAGGAGAGGGTGCGTGAATGAATGAAGAAACGTATCTGCATGTCCAGATCAGCTTCTGACACCCATCTCCTGACAGACGCCACCTTTGCAACTCCTGAACGTTTGTTAGCTCTACCAGAGAGGGAGGCCCATTAGGCAAGACTGAGCACTGACTCATTACTCCCTTGTTTCCAAGGGGTGGCTCAGAAAAAGAAGTAGGGAAGCCGTACGTGCATGTTCCTCATCTTGTTTCAAAGCATGAGGATTGAATAGCATGGACCAAGTCTTTGCAAACTCCTGCCTGATAGGCAACAAGCCTCGCTGTCTGACCCTGGAAGGAGACAAGGCGGCAGGGATTTCAAGCAGTAGCTGAAGTCCCATAAAGCAGGCTCTGTGTGTGCACATCAGGACTCCAAGAAGCAGGAACCCTTCTCAGCCCCATAATAATTAGGATCACTTCTTTTCATCCACCAGCACCCCCAAGTCCCTCTGGGCAGGGCTGCTCTCCATCCTTTCTTCCCCCAGCCTGTACTGATACTGGGGGTTGTCCCGACCCAGGGGCAGGACCTTGCCCTTGGCCTTGGCCTTGTTGAACCTCATGAGTTCACACAGGCCCACCTCTCCAGCCTGTTCAGCAGAAACTCCGGCCACGGCTCCAATTTGCAGTTTTTCCAGCATATATATTTTGTAGCCAGACCTATCCCGGCCCTGTCACGAGCATCCTCTGCTCATGGCCCTAATTTACAGCCTGAGCTCATCACCGCAGGGATGATCCCGCAATTTCTACATCACATTCCCAATTTTTTCTTGCTTTTTCCCTCCCACCAGTGTGCAATGCAGGGGGACGCGCTCTGATGTTCCCCCCCCCAGTTTAATTTCCAGCCCTTGCAAAGGGCTGGGCTGCAGGAAA